CTCAGAGGACAGCCACCCCCATGATCACTGACTGAAGGTGACACCTTCGGAGCAGGTGCTCGGCCTGCAAGCTCTCTCTGAGAGGACAGCCACACCCATGATCACTGACTGAAGGTGACACCTTTGGAGCGTGTGCTCAGCCTGCAGGCTGTCTCTGGGAGGACAGTCACCCCCATGATCGCTGACTGAAGGTGACACCTTTGGAGCAGGTGCTCAGCCTGCAGGCTCTCTCTGAGAGCACAGCCACCCCTATGAAGCCACAAACTTCTGAGTGGGCCCCTGAGGTCCCCACGTCTGAGGCTGAATGTCCTGCACTGCTGAGCTCTGTCCTTCCTGTTTCTCCTGCTGGGGAAGGCCCCAGATCAGAAAGGGGGCAACTCAGACTCTCCCCCACTCATGCGTCACACCTGAGCAGCACTAGGCCTGCCGCCCCGAATGCCCAGCAGGCCTCCCTCTGTATCCCGCTTCGCTCCCCTGAGTACCTCAGCTGGGGGGCTCCCTGGTCCCAACGCCACCCCGCCACCCCTGGTGCTCATTCGTCTTTCTAAACATCGAAGCAGAGGGAAAGACAGGCAGCCTCAGCAGCCCTGGTAACTCTGGCTGACTCAGCCTTCAGAGGAAGCGGGATGAAAATGCAGTTTACCCTCCTCAGTGGCCCGGGACCCGCAGCCTTGCTCAGAAATTCCAAAGCAAGCAGCGCCCAGATGCTCGGGCTGGGCCCACTCCCACTCCTCCTCATGAGGCCCAGTCGCTAATGGCTACGGCTACAGCAGCCGGACTGGGCATTCCTGGGCAGGACCCAGGAGAGTGGGAAGAAGGTGGGCAGAGCCACGGAGACCACTTTTCTGGAGAAAAGCCCTTCCCCCTGCCCCTCCCAGAGCCTCCCCCGCTGCGCAGGACTCATCACTTGTCCTTGAATGTGTTGTGACTGGAGAGGTCTGTGGGCTGCCTGCCAGCCCCCAAGTTAAAGAAACACATGGAAGAAGGTGGCTCCGGGACAGCCTTCCCTGCCAATCAGAGACTGGCAAAGTCACACGGAACTGATGCCAAGCAAACTAAACTGACAGAAGAAAGGTAGAGCAGAGCTCAAAACAAAAACCAGGAACCCCTGCCCTGCCAAGTGGGAGGGGACGAGGCACAGCTCAGACGCTGCGGCAGGAGCTTTCGGAAGGTCAAGACCTACCGGCCAAGACACTCCCCATCCCGCCAGGTGCCCTGCAGACAGGGCTCCTAAACTAGATAGAGCTGAGTGTCTCCCAGGGGTCTCCCCGTGTCACAGTCGAGGGTCTCCCGGGATCCCCCCATGTCACGGCCGAGGGTCTCCCAGGGGTCTCCCCGTGTCAGAGCTGAGGGTCTGCCAGGGGTCTCTCCGTGTCAGGGCTGAGGGTCTCCCAGGGGTCTCCCTGTGTCAGGGCCGCATGCCAGGACAAGCTACTGCCCGCTGACCAATCTGTCCTGCTCATGGCTGCGTCCCAGCGCCCAGTGATGCTGGCACCCAGGAGGGATCTGGTGCATCTCCGAGCAAGGATGGCCCCTGGCTGAGCTTCCGGCAGCTCTTCTTTGCTCCAAATCCATGTAAGAAGCTCGTAACTGCACCAGGCATTTCACGGCGCGACCGGCAGTTTTTAGACCATCACTGCACTTTTCCAGGGCTCTGCGTAGCAATCCAAACCCGCCTGAGGCAGGACCGTCTGTGCTCAGTGGACTGGGCACACAGAGCCCTGGCCCTTCCCACACAGCTGTCAGCCAGCAGATCAGCCCACAGGGCACTCAAGGAGCCCTTTCTCAAGGCCCTGGGAAAAGAAGGGGCCAGCAAGACCAGCCTGCTTGGGTCGCCTGATGGCTCCCTGCTCAGGGCCTCTGGGGACAGAGGAGCTTCACTCACCACCATGGCACTGACCCTGGAGCAGACACTGCCCTCCTGGAGGGCAATTTTAGAACATGTATCACGGGCTTAAAATGTGTATGCCCTTTAATCCAATACTGACTTCTGGGACATTCTATTAAATGAATAATCAGATATTTACAGAAAGCATATGTGCAAAAATTCCCCAAAGCCTGGTTTATTAAAATAAAACTGGAAACTTCCTAAATATACAATATTATGGCTTAAACAAATTGGTTAAATATAGTACATTTGAATGACGGCTAACAAGCAATCATGAAAATTTCAGCTGTCAAAAAATGACTGAGGAAATGACTAACGTGGAGAATGCAGGCTGCACGGACACACAGCATCCCAGCTTCGAGGCTGTGGACACACACACCGACACATCAGAACTAACAGTGCAATTTCCTATAACACACACTCCTGCTGAAGCAGAAAATATGTTTCTAATTACTTCATGTGGCCATGAGGGGAAACAGCCAGCCCTACAGAGGCCTGAGCTGCCATCGTGGGGTGGGACTCGGGCCACAGAGTGCACTGAGGTTAGGGGGATGCTCTGGTCCACGGGGGCTTGTTAGAACTCGGGCCATACGGTAGGGGTGGTGACTGAGGCAGAGTGTGCTAGGCAACCACTTTGAAGGCAGGGCCATCACAGCCCCATCTGGAGGCCACCCCCCCCACCCACCCCGCCTCACAGCCCATCTGGAGCCCACCCCTCCTGCCTCACAGCCCATCTGGAGCCCACACCCCCGACCTCACAGCCTATCTGGAGCCCACACCCCCCACCCACCCCGCCTCACAGCCCATCTGGAGCCCACACCCCCCACCTCACAGCCCATCAGGAGCCCACACCCCC